CCATAGATTGTAAGTGAGATAGTGTTGTCATCGATGGTAAGTGAGATAGTGTTGCCATAGATTGTAAGTGAGATAGTGTTGCCATAGATTGTAAGTGAGATAGTGTTGTCATTGATTGTAAGTGAGATAGTGTTGCCATAGATTGTAAGTGAGTTAGAGTTGCCATAGATTGTAAGTGAGATAGTGTTGCCATAGATTGTAATTGAGATAGTGTTGCCATAGAATGTAAGTGAGTTAGAGTTGCCATAGATTTAAGTGAGTTAGAGTTGCCATAGATTGTAAGTGAGATAGTGTTGCCATAGATTGTAATTGAGATAGTGTTGCCATAGAATGTAAGTGAGTTAGAGTTGCCATAGATGTAAGTGAGATAGTGTTGCCATAGATTGTAAATGAGATAGTATTGCTATAGATTGTAAGTGAGACTGTGGTGCTTTAGATTGTGAGTGAGACTGTGTTGCCATCGATTGTAAGCGTCGTGGTATTGCCATAGATTGCAAGTAAAATGGTGTTGATATATAGATTGTAAGTGACATACTTTGGGCATAGATTGTGAGCGAAGTGGTGTTGCCATAGATTGTAAGTAAGATAGTGTTTCTACAGATTGTAAGTAAGACTGTGTTGCCATAGATTGTGAGTGAGATTGTGTTGCCATAGATTGTAAGTGAGATTGCATTGCCATGACTGTAAGCGACGTGGTATCGCCGTAGTTTGTGTTACATGGGCTGTAATAGATTGTCAGATGGTGTTGATGCCGGAAGTTCCTCCCCACTACTGAGCAAATTCCCGCTGCGTTGCGACTGATATTTCTAAACAATAAAATCTAGGAATAGACGTCACGTGACTAGTAGATGCTAAGTTTAACCATTCGCTGAGATAGGATGTCAACGAAGGATAATACTACTGCAGGTGATCAGCCGGCGTGTAGCAACAGATAGTATCTTCCTGTTGGTTATGCTGTGTTGAACAAACATTAATGACGCGACGTTGTCTAAGCTGTTAGGGCTTTATGAATTGTTATGTTGACTATTCTGGCACCATCAATTGTTATGTTGACTCTTTTAAATCCTTTTTTAGTAATTTACTTTTTTTAACAAAATTTTAAATCCTTACTTATTGATTCGTTTCCTCCAAAATTGATATGCTGATTCCGTTAACCCCCAGCTATTATGTTAACTCGTTTAATCCTCGTGCGTTTGGTTAAATGTTTCGATTTCAGTAGCTATGCTGACTCTGATAATCCTCGGCTATTGTTGGGTTGATTCCTCTACCTGAATCATTAAGTTGACTCCCCTATCTATATGAGTTGTTAGTTGACTCCTCTATCTACCTGAGTTGTTAGGTTGACTCCTCTATCTACATGAGTTGTTAATTGATTCTTCTATCTACGTGAGGTTCAAGTTGACTCCTCTATCTACATGAGTTGTTAGTTGACTCTTCTGTCTAGATTAGTTGTTCTGTTGACTCCTCTATCTACATGAGTTAATAGTTGACTACTCTATCTACCTGAGTTGATAGGTTGACTCCCCTATCTACATGAGTTATTAGTTGACAATAATAGAGACATAGAGACAGACATACAGACACATCAAACACATTTACACACAATATATATATATATATATATATATATATATATATATATATATATATATATATATATATATATATATATACATACATACATACACAGAGAGAGAGAGAGAGAAAGAGAGAGAGAATACAACGAATACAACTGGTTGGAAAGAGTTAGAGATAGATAGATAGAGAGAGAGGGAAGAGGGGTGGGGGACAGAAAACAACTGTTTAGAACAGGAAGAATAAACACAAGCATCTTCTGCATAAAGCCATCAACAACAAACATCTGATGGGTGGCGGGAGATGCTCAATGAGTTAGCCAGTGAATGTTTGCAGAAGTCGGCCTCGTCCTGGACACGCTGTATTCATCTCGTTTGTTAGCTTCACCTGCTGCAGGTTTTTCATGGCTTCGTTTTCTCAGGTAGTCTCTACCTACATGTCTGTTCGTGCGTGCGCGCGCGCGCGCGTGTGTGTGTGTGTGTGTGTGTGTGTGTGTGTGTGTTTGGGGAGGAAAATTTGATTTTTTTGCAGCATTTTTAGTCTGGAGCACGTACACCTAACCTGTATATCCTACTCAGCCGTTGCTCTTCTCTTAATGTGTAAAAAATTACAGAAATAATAATTTACGTCAACACACACACACACACATATTTATATATATATACACACACACACAAATAGATATAATTAAACTCGATGACGTAATATCTAAACGATGAGGGAAAATTGAATATTGGCCGAGAGAACTGCAGTAACGGATCGGCCTCTACGATCAGTGTTTGGCTGGTGACTTCTGACTGAAATTTTTTAGGTTATATGTTTAATGAATGTGTACATTTTATAAAATCATTATGAGCGTACCGTAATTAAACTATATAAGTTACGTCATGTTTCAAGCGCCATGTAACAGTTAGTTTAGAATATCACTGCAACAGTGTTTTAGTAACTGATCTTAGTTATAAGGTAGGTGAGTTGTACCCAACTAGGACATCACACAAAGCGATTAACAGCCGGTGACACAAAGTGCTACCATGCGGATAAGGATTACCCGTGGAGAGGTCCCGGAAACCCCGTTCAGCCGTCAGGCCATATTTAAGACCATGTTACATTTAGGTCCCCCGGCAAAACCCAGGGTGGGGCTTCAAAATAACTAAAAATTGCATGAATCCCGCATGGGGGTTAATGTATATTGTCTTAATTATAATGGTGTTAGCTATTGAAAAATGAGTATTTTTGGTGATGCTAAACGGTGAAAGGTATTCGAATATGTTGTTCAACAATTTATGATGTTATTTCCTGATACTCAGGTGCCTCATTCTAACACTGTTAACACTTTAACCAGTAGAACAGATTGTCAACACAGACGGTGATCACAAAAATAGCAACGGCAAAATCCCCCTCCCCCCCCCCACCCCCACCCCCCCCCCCAAAAAAAAACAATTACAGTCATTAAAAATACATCATATAGTAGCAGACTAGACAACATCTGTGTCTGAGGCTTTCCTTAATTCCCTGGTTAAGACTGTCCACTCAAGAAAGAACCCAACAGATGGATGGACAGTGAATTTTATTGATGCTCTTGAGGTAGCGTCTCAGGCTCTTGGCCAAAGTCTTCAGGGTGGTGTTCGTCATACCTGGTTTTTTGGTGATGTTGTATACTTGGGTTACCACAACACCAGAGATGCTAAAGTTGGTTGTGTGCTAATGTTGTATACTTGGGTTACCACAACATCGTGGATGTTAAAGTTGGTTGTGTGCTAATGTTGCATACTTGGTTTACCACAACATCGTGGATGCTGAAGTTGGTTGTGTGCTAATGTTGTATACTTTGGTTACCACAACATCGTGGATGTTAAAGTTGGTTATGTGCTAATGTTGTATACTTGGGTTACCACAACATTGTGGATGTTAAAGTTGGTTGTGTGCTAATGTTGTATACGTGGGTTACCACAACATCGTGGATGCTAAAGTTGGTTGTGTGCTAATGTTGTACACTTGGGTTACCACAACATCGTGGATGCTAAAGTTGGTTGTGTGCTAATGTTGTACACTTGGTTTACCACAACATCGGGGATGTTAAAGTTGGTTCTGTGCTAGTGTTGTATACTTGGGTTACCACAACATCGGGTATGCTAAAGGTGGTTCTGTGTTAATCTTGTATACTTGGGTTACCACAACATCAGGGATGCTGAAGCTTGTTCCGTGCTAATGTTGTATACTTGGGTTACCACAAACTCGTGACAGTCAAAGTTGGTTCTGTGCTTATGTTGTACGCTCGGATTTCCACGACTTGAGGATGTCAAAGTGAATTCTGTGGTGATGTTGGACATCAATGCCTTTTATCGATACCTGGCCCGCAGATTGTTCATCACACCTTATTTCAAAAGGGGTCAGGGATCCATTAAATGGGAGTGTGGGGAGGGGGATACACTCATTGTTTCCTAACAACCGTGTAGTAAAAAACGATTAAATAAGAGTTTGTAGAAAGCAGAATCACAGTCTTGCTGTAAACCCCAATACTCTTGCCAAATAATCGTTTAAGAGCGAATAAAAAAAAGGAAGATTTACAAAATATGACGATGATGATGATAATGACGATAGAGCACCAAGAGATGACAACAGAAGTAGCGCTTGGCATGAGACAGCCTTAACTTTCCTGGGAAATAAACGGAAAAAGTAGGAGAATGTGACATGGGGATCTGTGGAAGGTTGTGGTCGTAGAGAGAACTAAGGGTGCTGGAAGCATTATTGACAGAGACAGATGTTACTGAACCGGATGTCAGGGTGGTACGGAAGACAATGGAGTTTCAAGGAAATAAGGAAAACACATGATAAATGATAGTGAAGAACCATGATTGCCTCCTTTGCTTAGCAGAACACACGATGAATATTATGATGATGACGATGATGATGACGATGATGATGATGATGGTGATGATGATGACGATGATGATGACGATGATGATGACGATGATGATGACAATAAAGATGACGATGAAGATGACGATGAAGATGAGGAGGATGATGATGATGATCATGATGATGAAGATGACTAATAAAAAAAATCAGTCACCAACATTCTTACGCCTACATATTCTTTTTATAGCCCATCCCGTGTGGCTTTGGTAATTACGTCTGTCCACAGCCTTCTGTCTCTCGAACTGTTATCTTTTCTGATGCACGTGCTTTCCATCTCACGAAGCTATATTGTCCCACATCTTCTGATATAGACTTCTTCTGCCACTCTTCCTCTTCAGCTTTCCGGTTATGAGGTAATTAATCTAGTTTTCCTTTTCTCACGAGAAGCTTAAACAATGTAGATCGTAACACACTAACGAGGGCAATCCTAGTGCGGACTCCTTCATTACTCCTTTTATACATCTATACTGTCCTATCAATGATGTTCTGTCCATCATGCTCTGTCCATGATGTTCTCCATATACACGATGTTCTCCATATACATGACGTTCTCCATATACATGATGTTCTCCATCTACACGATGTTCTCAATATACACGATGTTCTCCATATACACGATGTTCTCCATATACACGATGTTCTCCATATACACGATGTTCTCCATATACATAATGTTCTCCATATACATGATGTTCTCCATATACATGATGTTCTCCATATACATGATGTTCTCCATATACATGATGTTCTCCATATACACGATGTTCTCCATATACACGATGTTCTCCATACACACGATGTTCTCCATATAGATGACGTTCTCCATATACACGATGTTCTCCATATACATGACGTTCTCCATATACACGATGTTCTCCATATACATGATGTTCTCAATACACACGATGTTCTCCGTATACATGATGTTCTCCATATACATGATGTTCTCCATATACATATGTTCTCCATATACACGATGTTCTCCGTATACATGATGTTCTCAATACACACGATGTTCTCCGTATACATGATGTTCTCCATATACATGATGTTCTCCATATACATGATGTTCTCCATATACATGATGTTCTCCGTATACATGATGTTCTCCATATGCATGATGTTCTCCATATACACGATGTTCTCCATATACATGACGTTCTCCATATACACGATGTTCTCCATATACATTACGTTCTCCATATACACGATGTTCTCCATATACATGATGTTCTCCATATACACGATTTTCTCCATTTACACGATGTTCTCCATTTACATGATGTTCTCAATATACGTGGTGTTCTCCATATACATGGTGTTCTCCATATACACGATGTTCTCCATATACACGATGTTCTCCATATACACGATGTTCTCCATATACACGATGTTCTCCATATACATGATGTTCTCCATATACATGATGTTCTCCATATACATGGTGTTCTCCATACACATGATGTTCTCCATATACATGATGTTCTCCATATACATGATGTTCTCCATATACATGATGTTCTCTATATACACGATGTTCTCCATATACATGATGTTCTCCATATACATGACGTTCCCCATATACATGATGTTCTCCATATACACGATGTTCTCCATATACATGATGTTCCCCATATACATGATGTTCTCCATATACACGATGTTCTCCATATACATGATGTTCCCCATATACATGATGTTCTCCACATACATGATGTTCTCCATATACATGATGTTCTCAATATACATGGTGTTCTCCATATACATGATGTTCCCCATATACATGATGTTCTCCACATACATGATGTTCTCCATTTACATGATGTTCTCCATATACATGATGTTCTCCATATACATGATGTTCCCCATATACATGATGTTCTCCATATACACGATGTTCTCCATATACATGATGTTCCCCATATACATGATGTTCTCCATATACACGATGTTCTCCATATACATGATGTTCTCCATATACACGATGTTCTCCATATACATGGTGTTCTCCATATACACGATGTTCTCCATATACATGGTGTTCTCCATATACATGATGTTCTCCATATACATGATGTTCTCCATATACATGATGTTCTCCATATGCATGGTGTTCCCCATATACATGATGTTCTCCATTTACACGATGTTCTCCATATACATGATGTTCTCCATATACACGATGTTCTCCATATACATGATGTTCTCCATATACATGGTGTTCTCCATATACATGATGTTTTCCATATACATGATGTTCTCCATATACATGGTTTTCTTCATATACATGATGTTCTCCATATACATGATGTTCTCCATATACATGATGTTCTCTATATACATGATGTTCTCTCTATATATGATGTTCTCTATATACATGATATTCTCCATATACATGATGTTCTCCATATACATGATGTTCTCTATATACATGATGTTCTCCATATACATAATGTTCTCCATATACGCGGTGTTCTCCATATACATGATGTTCTCCATATACATGATGTTCTCTATATACATGATGTTCTCTATATACATGATATTCTCCATATACATGATGTTCTCCATATACATGATGTTCTCCATATACATAATGTTCTCCATATACATGAGGTTCTCCATATACATGATGTTTTCCATATACGCGGTGTTCTCCATTTACATGATGTTCTCCATATACATGATGTTCTCCATATACATGATGTTCTCCATATACATGATGTTCTCCATTTACATGATGTTCTCCATATACATGATGTTCTCTATATATATGCTGTTCTCTATATACATGATGTTCTCCATATACATGATGTTCTCCATATACATGATGTTCTCTATATACATGATGTTCTCCATATACATGATGTTCTCTATATACATGATGTTCTCCATGCAACTTTAACGTACTTTTTCATGAATCGTCTGACTGTCCATGATTTACTTTCTTAAATCTGGATAGGGTTTATATATCTTGCAAGAAATCTTCTTACTACGATTTATTTCATAATATTCGTCATCACACAGTTCCATAGGTGGCCCAGAATCGTCGAAGTGGTCCCACCTGCATGCGTAGTTCAGTGTTTGTACACAAACATATGACACACATAGATCATAGTGTTCCTACAAACACATAACATGCGGGGATCAAAGTGTATCTACAAACACACATAGACCAAAATGTAATAGAAACACACAACAACAATAGATCAAGGTGTACATACAAACACACATCAGAGATCAACGTGTACATACAAACACACAACAAACAGAGATAAAAAGACTACATACAAACAAAAAAATCATCCATTTCCTCCATCCTCACTGCTACCACCGTCATCGTTTTCTAGACAAGAGGATGGGAGTCAATAAGGGGCTTAATTCTACTTTAAGATATAATAATACTACTAATAATACCATGGCACACAAATAACAACACATGCAATAGAAGTAATATGAAATGTAAACACGAATAATTTTACACATAATGTTTCAATGTATGGATCAAGGAGGCGCTGATAGACCCCTTGCTCATTCTGCGGGATGGGTGGGGCTAAGGCACTCTCCCTGCCCCTTCAATGTTGTCTCTGGGGGGGGGGGGGGGGCTTAAGAACCCATGACACAGAGATCAATGTTTATATACAAACATACAACACGCAGATGACGAGAGGTACAACCGGCACACTGCAAGCTTTTGTATGTAACCTGGATACACAAATACACAGACCTGCTGGCTGCAGGAACTGGGAGCACGGAAATGAATGTGAGTCATACAATTCTCTCTGGGCTTCTAGACCTGCCTCTGTTGTTTTATGACATCCTCTTGTATGCGTGCAGTCAGTTGTCGAGGTTTGTTGTAAGTTTAGATTAGTTGTCCACGTTTTCCACCATTTAGGAACATTTCACACTACAAAGAGCGAACGAACGAACGAACTTTATTTTCAAAGGGTTAAGAATTGCGCACGCAAGCCAGTATCACATTCTGTCCTTCCAGTCCAATTCTTGCATACATTTATTCATGTGTACGTCATTTCAAAGTTTTCATATGGAAATGCGACAGGGATGTGTACTATCACGTGATTTGTTCTCACTATACCGTGAATATATAATGAGATATATCGTAGATATGCCTGTAATTATGATTGGTGGCCATAACATATACAACCTCCTTTATGTTGATGACACCGTCGTGACAGCGACAAGTCAGAAAGAACTTCAGGGATTGGTTGATAAGGTGGTGGTAGAGAGTGATAAGATGGATCTCATTTTGAATAATCAGAAGACAGAAGTACTGGTAATGCCCCCAAAAAAAAAAAAAAAAATAATAATAATAATAAAAATAGTGGCTAAATGTATAATGAAATTCAAAGACATTTTTTAAGTACAAAAACAACATTTGAAGTATCCAGGAACATGGATAATATCCGACGAAAGATGTTTCATAGAGATAAAAAAAAAACAGAATAGGACAGGCTAAAACTGCATTCAGTAAAATGACGAACATTTTACGCAGTACATTCATGTCAGTGGAGGCTAGAAAAGAGTTTTTGCATGCTACATAGAGCCAGTTTTCAGATATGTTGGACAATTAATAAACAGACCGAACGATTTCTGGAGGCCTCGGAGATGCGGTTTTACAGAAGAATCATTAGAATCCATTTGACAGAAAGAAAAAAGAAAAAGCTACCCAGATGTTTTGTAAGAGTCCAGGTCTAGAAGACTACACTTATACCAAACATCAGAAACGTCATAATATTTTGGTTATTTTATGAGAAGAAGGAAACTGGAACATGTTGAGACCAAATGGGAAGATCTGTGCATAGAGAGACAGAGGAAGACAACGCGAGAAGAATCTTGACAGCCTTTTAACATGGCATGGAAAGGTGTCCACACACGAACTGATACACGCAGTTGCAGTTCACAGATTGTTGACAGATATGATCGCCCTAGCCAGTCGGCAAAGCACTTGATAATAAATTCCTATAAAACAAGTTTGCAAATCGTTATTTTGTGTTCAGTCTTGCTTGACAGCATGCCTTCTCGGAAATACACCACGCCTGACGGTTATTTACTAACGTGTTATGCCAATACTGCACCCATGAAACAGTATCGAAAGAATGAATGAACGAACTTAATTTTTTAAAGGGTCATAAATTGGGCACGTAGGCCGTCTTACATTTGGCCCTTCCAAATACCCATCTTTCACACAATCAGTGGCACTGTGACCACTGTGGTATCTGCGACAGGCAGTTGTTAGCTGCACTGAAAGCACCATAGCCACACCTTATTTTCTCAAATGCTGCTTAAATCCAGTTGTTGATGGCAGGTGATCAGTTTCAAAACAGAGTTGTAAAGAGAAAGAAATCCAAAAGGCGCTCGGTTGTTTTCATCCGCAAAAAATGTTCCGGCGGTCCGCAAAACTATCCGCGTTATTAGTTAGTAGCTACAGTGGAAGCCAAACAGAGAGGACATCGTTTGTCAGAAACAACGCTATAGCCAACTGCAACGTATATAAGATAACCTTTATGCAGTATATGTCGCATTAGCAAAAAATTGTAAGTTTATAACAATGTATTTAATAAATAACACCGCACCTCCATTTATAATTGTTTTCAATCTTAGACGCCACCCGTTCCTAAAATTGCCCCTCCCACACCCCGGGTGTAAGAAGCTTAAAAGTACGCTGCTCTACATCACCCTAAGTACACATGCCTCAAAATCTTATTTTAAACAACTGCTTTCGAAATCAATTTGATGATGGCAGGTGGTAAGTTTAAAATTAGAATTTGATGCAGCAGAAACACACAGTGCCCTCGTTTGCGAGAAGCCATTAGTTAAATATATCGCCACGGCACACGTATCAGAATCTTCAACGAAAGCGTTCATAGATACGACATTGAACAAACACTGCAGCTTATTCCAGGTAGTTCTGTTTGACCTCTCACCGACAGAGGATGAAGGTGCCAAGTCTTTACTTTTCAGCTGCCAGTTTCTCAGCCCACATTTGTCTACACGATGGCCAAGTAAAATTTTGCATCGTAATTGTGGTGGTAGTATAGTGGTTAGTACAATTACCTGCCTTATCAGTGGTATAGGTTCAATCCCCAACAGAAGAATAATTGTGTCTTTATGTCATAGGCTGGAAAACGACAAAGACTACTGCTCAGCAGCTTAACAATTTTGATTTAATCTGGTATAAAAATGACAAAGAGAACACAGGAACAGCTATTGGCTTTAGATGGTAAAGCGAAGAGACCTGACTAACCATCAGTTTATAAAAGACCTTGTTTAGTCTTTTAGTGTTCTATTTGACTTCCGGACGGACCTTGTGGAGACCTACCTAGCTGTTGCAGCTTTGCACATTGGGCTAGCCAGCATGGGTATGGGCGACCGCAGGGGAAGACCGGTCGTCAGACTGGCTTGTGTTCGCGATATGGGTACATTTAATTAGTTTAGGTTTTGGATTTAATTTCCATTGTGCATCATCGCTAGGAGATAGTTTGATGGCAGGTCTCTATGAGTGATTTGTTGGTCTGGTGGCATATTGAAGCTTAACGTACATGTTAAATATGTTTCAGTTTTTGCCATTGTTGAGATAATCTCGCGAAGCGCATGGTGTCGTTGTCATATTTACTTCTTAGCTGATGATCGCTTCAGATTCTGGTCGAGCACGTTGGTTGTTGTTAATGTTATTTGTGGACCACGCTGATTTTATGTTAAGTGAAATAAACAGATGTTCAATGTAGTAATCATAGTTCCAGTTGTTTTTCGTTCAGATTAGGACTTGTAGTTAGTGTGCCTTGTTTAGTATTTGTTGCTTTGCTGATCTAGACTTTACACAACAGATTTCCTGTCAGAAAAAGAGGTCGTCGGTTCGTTTCACGGCAGCTTTGTTCTGTTCTCGAATGAAAATTGTACAGGGATTCCTGAGGACTGCCGCCGGAACTACGGAGATCCGGCTTTGTGTAAAGGTCTGGACAGGTAGCTAGCTGTTCTCGGAGAGAAACCAAGCTGTAGGGAATACAATCTAGTGCCATGAAGTCGACTCTCTCCCATTTAACATGTTTACTGTTCATAGTACCATTTAGTAGTAGAGTAGTAAGACCGACGCCCGTGTGTGCTGTTGCGCACGTAAATCTCTTGGCAGTGGAAATCGAAGAGAGTAGCCTAACGGCGTTGTCCAGGCAAAATTTTGATTTAAAAATCTACCTAAAGTATTTTAGGATCTTAGCCGGTGCTACGGAGCTCGTGCAATGAGCTGAGATTCTTCGGACTTAGGCTTAGAAGTAGAACGGAGCACTTATGGGCTACCACCCTTGTGCCATAATGTTGGCTGTTGTATAAACCAACAAATAGTACTATTTAGGGATGTGAAGGACAGAGGGTTTTGAGCCGTACAGCTAGTGCAGACGCCACGCACTGTGTAGGTAAGGATATTCATCCTCTCCCCCACATATCCTCCCCCGACAGAAAAAAACCCCAATATTCTGTTACCTCATCAAGGATTTGAACTCGGCTCTCTTGCGTGACAGCTAACCACTCGTCAGCCACTACTGATAAAAGGAGCCAAACATAAATTCCTCATTTTCTGGTATTCCCTTTGAAAAGAAAAACGAAGACAGAAAAAGAACTAGAAATGCCATCTAATGTGTGGAGGCCTAGAATATACAAAGATCCAACCAGAGGAGTGAACATTGTAACGGCTGACAAAATGGTAAACATATGTGTTATTAACATGCAAATTGTGTTAGCGTGTTTGTGTGTGTGTGTGTGTGTTTGTGTGTGAATATGTAGAAAAAGTTGGGGGAAAAAACTGGGTGGGGAGTTTTCAGCACCGGGTACCATGTGACCGTGCTACGTCACTGGTTCTGACACCCCACAACCTAGCAATATTACACGGAGAAA